GGCTTGGGACAGAAAGGGATACCTGAGTGCTGGCTGACAGCAGCTGAACCTGAGCCAGTGTGCCTATGTGGCCAAGAGGTCTGATGGCACCCTGGCCTGGATCAGCCAGCAGGACAGAGAAGTGGTTGTTCCCCTGGACTGGGCACTGGTGAGGCCACAGCTCGAGTGCTGTGTCCAGTTCTGGGCCCCTCAATTTAAAAAGGACATTGAGGAGCTGCAGTGTGTCCAGAGAAGGGAAACAAGGCTCATGTATTCTTATGAGGAACGACTGAGGGAGCTGGGTTTGTTTAGTCAGGAGAAGAGTAGGCTCAGTGGGGACCTCATGGCAGTCTACAGCTCCCTGAAAGAAGGTTGGATGGAGGTGGGGTCAGTCTCTTCGGCCATGCCTGCAGTAAGAGGAATAAAGGAAATGGCCTTAAGCTGAGACAGGGGAAATTCAGATGAGATATTAGAAAAAAATCTTTTCACTGTTAGGGTGATCAGGCACTGGAGTAAGTTCCTCAGGCAGGTGGGGCAGTTACCATCCTGCAGGTGTTTAACAGGCATTTGGATCTGACACTGGATGATGTGGTTTAGGGGTTACATTGGCAGTGCTGGATGGATGGTTGGACTGGATGATTTTAAAGGTCTCTTCCAACCCTGATGATTCTATGATTCTATTTTTGTACTCTACAGTCAATGCCACAATGTCTCTTCCAAGCCTGATGATTCTATGATTCTATTTTTGTACTCTACAGTCAATGCCACAGTAGTAAAAAGATCAAAAGTTACTCAGTACAGGTTTACTTGACTACACTAAAACAAATAAAAAAAAATACATTCTAAGAAGAAGGGAAGAGGATACCTTTTTACTAAGCAAAAGTCTGCATGGGTGAGGAGAGAAAACAGGAGAGTCTTTCATTAGTAGATATGTTACATGATTATTTGTTCATACAAACATTGCTCACAATTCCATCAGAGCTAATTACTTAATACTTCCTGATGGAAAAGAGGCAATTAATTTTTTTTAAAATTAAGCAAGCTGATTTCAAAATCACTTACCAATATACCGCCATGAAGGGAGTAACAAAATGACCTGCTGCTGAAGCCACCGTGACAATGTGCCCGTAGTTATTGTTCATCATGACTGGCAGGAAAGCTCTCGTGGTCTTGGAAGTCATTTAAACCAAGAGGCAAAATGCAGGGGACAGGAAGGAGGAAAAGAACATTATTTTCTTAGGCACACACAGCACTGACCCTCAGTGTTATTCACTAGGTGGCCAAAGCTATCCCTAAAGCTATGAGCTGCACAGCACCTCAGATTTCCAGAGCCACACCTGCTCTCTGAGCAGTGGTGCAGCTGGCAACCTGCTCTCCAAAGGCTTCAGCAGTTGGCTAGAAACAGGAGGTGGCTTTCACATCTTTCCTTTGCCGCTTTTAAGGTTTCAGGTGTCAGCAGAAGTGCTGGCAGGGGCTCACCCCAGTACGTACCATAAACCACTTGTCAGTCTATGGCTTCTCTTTTCTTCTGCCACAAACAAGTACTGAAACCCTCCCACCCTGTCAGCCCCACGACACCTCTGACAGAGGCCTTCTGTGTGTGCTGCAGGTGAGGCTGGCACCAGCCAGCTCACATCAGCAAGAGGCCATTCCAGTTTCCCAGCACACAGTCTGCTTGGGTGCTCCTGTGCTATAACAGTTCATTTGCTAATTCACTGCTAATGATGGTTGCTCTAAATAAGCATCCTCACTGACACTCCCAAAAGAACTGTAGCTATAGATGGTGGTGGCCCTTACCCACATGTGACCCAGAATGTTGACTTCAAACATCCTTTCTATTTGGTGGTCCTGAGTTGAGAGAAAGTCGGCAGCTGTAATCACCCCAACATTGTTCACCAGGATAGTCACATCCCCAATATCCTTCTTCACCTTTTGGAGAGAAAACAAAAGCCCAAAATTGTGTCTGTCACTCAGGAGAGGGAAAAATGAAGTAAGGGCAGGGAAGATGAACCATAATTAAATTCTTAACATTGCATCTTCAAGAGAGAGTTAGATCATGCCACATTTCCAGATGTGGCAGGGACTTTGCAGCAGAGCCATGGAATCTGGTTTAGATCTGATTCTTCCCCATTCATTAATGCCAGTGTTGTTTATTGTGTTCCACAAACTGATTGCACAGTTTGGACTGTGTAGTCACAACTGGGAGCATGGAGGTACAGACTGCTTTGAGGCAGCTGGACCACAGCCATTACAATAAAATATTTCATATGTTCTCAGTGTTATGTTCCTTCAGAGGCTGGAACCCTAGAGAGCAAACTTGACAAGAGGATGTGATATGCTGGAGCCTCCCAAATAGGATGAGACTGGCTGTGATCTTGGAAATGCTACAGCACTCTGTGTCTAGGGAGCTGCGAGGAGTGGAGAGCTTCCACGGGCTTGCAGGATTTGTGTGCAACACGCCTTCTCTAGTTTTCCTGCCTTCTTTGGAAATCAAGCGTGGTTGGGAAAGCCTTTGGCCCTGCCCCTGCTGTCCCACCTTGTCTGCAGCGCTGTAGATCTCCTCCCGTTTGCTGCAGTCCACCACAAAGGTTTGAACAGTGGCTCCCAGCTTCTGGCATTCTGCTGCCGTCTCCTCAATGCCGTGCTGGAAGAGAGAAAGAGAAAGCCACCGTGCACAGCTGTCCCCTCACCACAGCTAAGCAGCAGAGGCTGAAGATGTCCCTGGATTGAGCAACCACTGCCCATCCCCAGAACAGTTCATAGCTACCCAGGGAAAGAGCTGTAGGTGGGGTTGCTGAGAAGGCAGGCATTTCAGACTTAAATTTAGGATCTGCATGTAGTGACAGCCAGAAAGGTGGCAACAAGAATGAGTTTAACTTGGTAAGGCAGACTGAGCAAGGCTGCAGAAAAGGGGCACACGGTGCCTATCACAGCACAGCAGGCAGCACTGAGAGTGTAAACAGCTCATAAAATACAGGCCTGGCTGACACTCTAAGATATGAAAACTGGCTCTATGTGTTTCGGTATTTGCATGCTGGGTGTGAGACGAGAGGTGCCCTCCACAGTTCACAATGTAGAAAGATTTTAATTTCAGAATGACCTTTGATACACACAGGTCAGAAGTTCCCTGAAGTCATTACATCAATCGTAATTGAGAGCAGAAGTCACTTTGTTGTATCCCTGTTCCCAGGTTCCAGAAGGCCATGCTAGTAGAACCTGTGCAGTGAAAAGCTCTAGGTCACAAACAGCCTGGGACAACTCAGCAGTCTCTGGGGTGGGTGACTGGGCAGCTGTTCCCAACACCAGCTGCTGTTTAATGCTGAGAGCCTCCAAGAAGGAGGCCTCGTCAAGGCACTTGGGTTGGAGGAGCATACTCCTGAATCCTCTAAAATGCACAACCTCCTTTGATGCTGTATTTCAGTTCCTGCTGACACCCACTCTTGAAATCTACATCTAAGCACTAAAGCCAGGGTTCGCTCACTACTAAATTTATACCTGAACTCCCCCATTCCAACCAGTGAACATAAATAATCCTCTGTTACACTGCAGCCCTGTACACTTTGGGAGAGTGGTGCTATGCCTCCTCCCATCCCTCCAATGTCTGGTCTTAGGCATAATGGGTACCACGATCAGACACTGAAAATGTTCAACACTATCTTCCCCTTTTATCCATCCTGTCATTCAACTTGTCTCAGGTTTGGTATATTTTTGTTTGTGGAGGGCTGGGTTCTATTTTGCAGCTTCACGGATGAACTCCTTTGCTGAAAGGAGTGTCAGAAACAGAAAGCACAACGTCTCAACAACCCTGTTGCGCCAACACCCAGCATGTCATGTTGCATGTTTGTACGTGCCCATCCTCCATTTGCCATGGCATTTTTGCATTCCAGTCAAATCATCTGAAATAAAGCACTTGGGCCAGTGTAAACATTTAGAGAGGTGCCATCTACACATGCAGCTGCCCAGCCAGGCTCACACACAGCCCGGCACAGTGATGCTGCTGATGGGAGTGCAGAGAATGCAGCAATGCACACAAAACACCTGAGGCTACAGAGAGAACAAGTGAAGGCAGACCTGCTCCTCTCTGCAAGCAGCCTGCTGCTCTCAGCGGGCTTCCTCTGCCAGCCCAGGCAGCAGCTCCTCCAGCAGCTTCCCGAGCACTTCTTTCCCTCTCGCAGGTGCTCTGCCGGGTGCTGCCTGCTCCCTCCCGAGCAGCATCGAGTGACTGTGGGACCAGAACCCCGCATCCTCCGCTGCAAGTGGGGCCAAACCCTCTCCTGGCGCTCAGCATCCCAGCCGGAGGAGCCAAGCGGGAGCCGATGGGAGCGGGCTGGAAGGGGCTGGGCGATGGGGGTGCGCCGTGCTCCCTAAATCCCCCGTGGACTCGGAGGTCACGGAGGGAGGACGTGAGCGTGCCCTTTACCTTATTGATGTCCCACAGAACCAGTCTGCTCTGGCGCTTGGCGAACTCCAGGGCGGTCGCTCTCCCGACGCCATGGCCAGCGCCCGTGATGAGCACCAGCTCCCCGCTGAGAGACTTTCTCCTCACAGGCACGAACAGCTTCACGAAAGCCTCCAGGTAGGAGTAGAGGAGCGTGGCCAGGAACAGGAGAAGCTCCAGGAACAGGTTCATGTTTTCCCGGAGCTCCTCGGGCGCTCGAAGCGCTCTGGAGCCGGCAGCGCCCCCGCCCCTCAGCCCGCCCAGCCCCGCACGGGGCGGGGCCGCGGGCGCTGCGGGGCTCGGTGGGGCCGGGGATGCTCCGAGCTGCGCTGCCCGTTCGTTTACCGGGCTCCACAGGGAGGGACGGTAACACGGGAAATGGAGACTCCTACATTGGGCTAAGGTAGTTGATTAAAGTAGTTAAAGTGAAAGATATAAAAGAGAAAGTTATTCTCTACTCCCCGGCGGGAAGTAGGACTTCCGCACGCACATCAGTCGCTCCGGAAGGCAAACACTGTAAATAACGAATACTCTCCCTCCCCTTCCTTTCCTTATGTTTTGTGTCCGAGCTGACGTCATGTAGCACGGAATCATCCTGTAGTCGGTTTGGGCCAGGTGGCCTGGTTGTGTTCTCTCCCAGGATCTTGCCCACTGATACCTAGGGCTGGGAATGCTGGGGACACAGCGCTGATGTGGGAGCGGCAGCCAAAACACGGACGTGTTAGCGACCCTTCGCCGAGAGCCAGCACCGCGGGGGTGCCTTGGCGGCGGAGCTCCGCCCCAGCCCAGCCGGCACCCGGCGCTGCCTTTGACGTCGCTCCCGTCGCCCATGCGGGGCCGGCTTGTACGGCGGCAAGGAGCGGGATAGCGGCATCCTGCAGCGGGATCAAGGCGGCATCCCGCAGCGGGATCAAGGCGGCATCCCGCAGCGGGATCGCGGCATCCCGCAGCGGGATCAAGGCGGCATCGCTGGCGGCGCGGCGCGGCCGATGCCGCTGCCGGCCGGGGCCGTGCCTCGGGCGGTGGTCGTGCTCTCCTTCTCCGTCCTGCTGAGCGCCCGGGGCGCCGCCCCGCGCCGCTCCGCCCGCAGGTACGGCGGGAGCTGGGGTCGGCCCCGGTGTCGCTGCCACCGCTGTTCCGCCGGGAGCAGCCGGCTCATGGCTCGGCCGAGGTCCCGGGAATGCCGGGCACCCCCTGCCCGCCGAGGAGGAGCTCGGCCGGAGTGTGCGGCGTCCCTCGGGGCGCCCCTCTGGGGGAAAGGCAAGCGGGGCTGTGCCTTAAAGCGATGTAAACTGCTGCAAAGTACAGGAGCGGTTTTGCCCTTCCCCACGTTTCTGTTAAAGGTTTTTGTTGTGAACTTCAGGCGTTTCATGAGTTGAATATTAGGAGAAATTTCTTCTAATTTCATTAGACGTGGGAATGGACTGGGCAGGGAGGTGGTGAAATCACCATTCCCAGGCGTGTGTTCAGGGAAAGACGGGACGTGGTGCTCGGTACCATGATCGAGGTGACACGACGATACTTGTTCCTAGTTCGGCTGTGATGATCTCAAAGGCCTTTTCCAACCTAATTGATTCTGTGAAAGAGCTGAGTCTATTCCACTTGCTGTAATGTACTTTTAAGATTGGGAATTAAAGAGCATGTTAAAACATAATGAATGAGATGTTATTTTTTTTTTCTTTTAGTAATTTATCTGCAAGCTGTTGGTCCCGCCTCCATCCTGTAAACATGTTCAACAGTTATAATTTGAAGTTCCACCACAGAAAAGCTCTCACCTCCCCGTATCCAGGATCACACATTGAGCGTTACCAAGTTCCTGAAGATAAAGTGGGCTGGCTGACTGAGTGGGAAGATTATAATCCTGTGGAGTACACTGCAAAGTCTGTTTTGGCTGGACCCAATTGGGCAGATCCCCAAATCAAGTGAGTGGATATGGTGGCTCTTTTTCCCTGTGAGCATGAAAGTAGGAAATAATCATGAATTGAGTTACCAAGATCAAAAGTGATCTGTGATTCTACAGTGATGTGTGAAAGTCAAGATTAAGGAAAGTGGTTAGAGAACTGAGTAGTTTGGATTGTTGTGGAGGTCTTTGATACTTGGTTTTACTGAGCTGATGATTGAGATTGGAATAATGGACAGCTGTTGATGCTGTGCACGTGTTTCTCTGTGTTGTGAGCTAAATAAAAATCTAATTCTTAAGAATTTGGAAGAACATTTTAGTGATACACTTGTTTGTTCATTCATGGTTGGAATGCAATGTGAAAAAAGAAAGTGTAATTGTGGTTTTTGAATGGAGTGCTCTGACTCAGGAAATATGAAAGGTTGAACTAATTACAGATTTTTTTTTTTTTTTGTGACTGTGTAACAATGTGGGTGTCAGTACTTTTGTCTCGAGTAATAAGGGATAGGACAAGAGGAAATGTTGTGCCTCATGTTGTGCCAGAGGAGGTTTAAATTGGATATTAGGAAAAATTTCTTCACCAAAAAGTTTGTCAGGAACAGGCTGCCTAGGGAACTGGTGGAATCACCATCCCTGGAGGTACTTAAAAGATACCTGGATGTGGCACGTGGGGGCATGATTTAATAGTGGGCTTGGTAGTGCTGCAGCGAACTCGGTGATTTTAAGAGTCTTTTCCAACCAAAATGATTATGTGATTCTACACCTCTAATCTTAACAAAATACTTTTGAAACACTTTGTCTAAGTGAAGATTGAGAGAGATGCAATATTAAATACTTTGGTTCTGCACTTTTGCCTGCAGAACTAAATACAGAGGGACTGTAATCAGAAGAGGTTAGGACTTCATGGCCTCCTTTAGAAAAGGGAGGGCCTGCAACTCCAATTCTGGTAAAAACTGCTCATCAGCACACTCAAAGGAGTGTTGCTGGTCTGATGGCTGGCATATAAGCTTTTGTGTTTTGTAATTTGTCTCTATCAAATTCTTATTTGCCACACAGCGATGAAGGTTTTTCTCCCAAATTCAATGAGAGAGATGGAGAAGTGGAGAGGAAGAGTCTGAATGGTTTGTATGCGGTCGAAAATGGGAGACCCCGGTGAGTGTGGGCTTTTATTTGTATATTCATTTCAGTGGTGTAGTTTCAGTGCTCTTACAGGTCTGTCAGTTCCAATACATGGGACCTGCTAGGACAAAGCCAAGAGAGAAAAATGGAATCAAGTTTGATGAATCTTAAGTTGATGAATGAGAAAAACGTGTTGTGTCTCCTCCCTTTTAAAGCATCTATGTGCTTTAACACAAAATATGTGTTGCTGTCCTTCCCTTTTTTTGTTATTTAATCTTGATTTGTCGGGTTTTTTTGAGTTTGTTTTGGTTGGGGTTTTTTTTGTTTTGGTTTGGATTTTTTGGGGGTTTTTTTTGTGGAATGTTTTGAATGTGGGGAAATAAATACATTTAATGTGTTAAGGGTTTGGAGATTTAGCGGAAAATAAACTCCCTTCTGTTTCAGCTGGTCCTCAAAGATCAGAGGGTGTGGCTGGGCTTAATTTCCAATTGCAACCTGTTCAGGACTACATGGGTCATGTACTGTGGCATTTATTTCAGCAATCCAGCAGGAAGGACTGGCCTCACCGGCAGGGGATTGTTGGGGCGCTGGGGACCAAACCATGCTGCTGATCCTATTGTAACCAGGTAAGGCACAGGTAACTGCAAGGTACCCTGCAGTAAGGAAAAAACCCATGCCTTTTGCTTCTTTTCTGCTTCTCTGGGGAGGATGTTACATTTCATGGCCCTTTTTTCTGTGTATTTTCTATGTGTAAGCTCATTCTGCTTTTGTTATGTAAGAAACACTAACTTAGTCTATGATAGGAGGAGGTGGGATTAGGATGCTCTTTTTGTCACTGTATGCTTTGTTTGGATGTGCTTTTCCCAGCAGGATGTGTGTGTACGTGCTAACCATTTTACACAAAGTATTCAGAAAAGATTGTGTGGTTAACAGAAGCATGAGTTAGAAGTGCCATGCTGAAGACAGAACCATGGTGGAAAATCATCATGATGCATTTTACTTCTTCCCCTTTCCAGAAGGATGCCAGTGCTACTGAGTTGCTTCCTTGGGAGTAAATGCTGGAATTGGGTTTATCTTATTTTTTGTTTAGACAGCTTTTTGCTCTGCCTATTGGTAGTTCTTAGTTCTTCACTGAAGGCGATGGTGGCTACTTGTGGCTGTGTCCTGGTGCTGCTGCAGCTTGTGTGACCATTCTGTTCCAGCAGAAACATTCTCATCCTCTTAGTATGAATTAGCACAAGTGCAGCTCGGAGAGCTTTCAGAGGAACTGCTGCTACCTGCCTGGCTGCAGAAACATGCCTCATGGGCATTTTCTGCCCTTTTGGCTGAGGAACACCCTCAGTGTTCTGCCCGTGGTTGCGATCATGCTGGATGGCATTTGTTGGTCGCCCCTGACTGTTCATTCTCTGCTTTGTTTGTCACCACACAGGTTCCAGTGACTTGCTGTTCCTCTCTCAGGCCCAGGTGTCAAGAAGCAGCAAAACATGTTCTTGTTTGTCATTTTCTGCAGGTGGAAAAGGGATGGAAGTGGCAATAAAGTTGCCCATCCAGTTTCTGGCAAGAACGTCTTGCAGTTTGTAGCCATCAAGAGGAGAGACTGTGGGGAATGGGCCATCCCAGGGGTAAGGGCAAAGCTTCAGGGGCAGCTGGCATTTACCTGCTGGTGAAGCCATGAGGCAGATATGGCACACATGTGATGCAGATGGATGTAATGTACTTAGAGCTAGGATTTAAAATGTGTAGAATCTGAGGGACAGTATTTTTTGTTTGTTTGTTTTCCCCCCTCTAAGGGGATGGTGGACCCAGGGGAGAAGATCACTGCTACCCTGAAGCGAGAATTTGAAGAGGAGGCCTTGAACTCTCTGGAGAAATCCCCTGAGGAGAAAGCAAAATTGGAGAAGCAGCTCCAGAAGCTGTTCAGCCAGGAACACTTCGTGGTGAGCTCCATGTCTCTTGTGGTAGCCTTTTGAGCTCTGCATGTAACTCACAGTTGTATGGAACCTGAAGAAGTGCAGCTGAAATGAAAATAAGTTGTGATGTTCATCTTCTTGAGGTATAGGAAATTGAAGGGACTTTTGAAAACTCTGTAAGGGCAAATGTCTCAGAGGGAAAGAAAAAAGTATGACTGATTCCACCTTGTTTGTTTTGACACTGAGCTTGTTCTGGTTTGTTTGGGGCCTTATAGGTGTACAGAGGATATGTGGATGACCCTCGTAACACTGATAATGCCTGGATGGAGACAGAGGCTGTGAACTATCATGATGAAACAGGTAAATATCTCCAGTCATGCTCTTAGTTGCCTTTTACTCCATATGTTGATTTGAAATTGGGGCTGTTGTTGAGCTGAGAATGGCAATTGAATCAGGGGAGCATGAAAGTCAGGTGTAAAATATAGGACTAGATTCTTACATTAATCTGTTGTCTTGGACTCTCATTTTTCACCTATCAGATAAATCAAGCTACTTAGATGCTTCTGATGTATTCAAGCCAGAGACTTCATGCAATGACATTTCCACTGAATTTTGGATAGTAGATGCCAGTTGTGAAGTTTCACATGTCACTGGTCCTAGATTTATCAGACCCCAGAAGCAGTGGAGATGGTGTATCTTTGGCCTCTGTCTCCAGTACAGAATAGAAGAGCATTTCCTTTGTTGTTTATGAAGTCCTGAGATTCTTTTTAAAAACAGAGTGAAAACTTGGGGGAAAAAAAAACAATTCAGAAGCCTTTATGCATCCCCTTTTAAAAACTAGTATTTTTATAAGTTTCAGAATTCAGTTGGTCCTGTAGAATAGTATGTGAGAAAAGGAGCAGTCAAATATTAAAGAAACAAGCAAAAATGCAGGCAGATGTATTGGCTAAATGTGGGGTAATAAGTACATGTTGTCATGATGGTTTAAAGTAACTTTCCATGCTGCTGGTGATATCCTAGAAATGATGACAGGGTGTTAACACAATTTCTGCCATTCAGATTTGCCTTAAAATAGTGCAAGTCTGAAAAAGGTTTCCAGCACAGAAGCAGTGAGAGATTTAGTTGTTTTTTCTCTAAGAAGCCATTGAAGGTTGCTGCCTGTGAAGGAGCATTGTGGAAGAACTAATAGAATGTGAGAGGGGGAAAAGGCAGGAAGAAAAGATGCAATAGCATGTTCTAACTCTCATTTTGTGAACAGGTGAGACGATGGATAACGTGCCTCTGGAAGCAGGTGATGATGCTGGAGTGGTGAAGTGGGTTGACATCAGTGAGAAGCTTAAGCTGTATGCGAGTCACAGCTACTTCATCAAGTTGGTGACCGAGAAATGGGGAGCCCACTGGAGTGAGGATCCTGCCTCTGAGTGCCACAAGTGATGGAGACTGACAGACTGAGAGGAGAATATGTTTTCCAGCCTTGAAACAGATGTCTTGTCATCCTCAGTGAAAATTGTGTGAAATTCAGCTGGGAGAAATGCTGGACAGTGATAAACATAGGCTTTTTGAGAGACTTCAGATTGCTTCTTTTGATTTCTTAGCTAGTGTGAAATGAGAAGAATGTGGAGCTCTTGCTTTGCTTTCTTGGCTTCATTATTTGCAGCTGTTTCATAATGTCTGCAGATCTGCATGGCAGCACTGGCATTCTGACTGGTGGTAGTTCACAGGCTCTTTGTTTTTGCATTGATTTTTTTTCAGGAATATGAATCCCTAAGGAATGAGAGACTTGTAGGATAACCTGAATAATGGCTTAAATTAAGTGCTGCATAATAAAGTGAAATTTCTTTTCTGAGTCATTTCATTTAACATAACTCTGCAGGGATTTTCTACTTTGAGAGATTAGTTTTCATATTCAATTACTTCTTAGTTTACAGTGTATGGATATTCTCAGTTCAGTCAGAGAGAAAAGGTGAGATATTTCTACCAGGCTAAGCCTGAGAAAGAGTACGAAAGGAATGTAAACAATTATTATCTCTCTCTCTCTCTGTTCACATTGTTTATAGGTATGTTCTGCTACACTGACCTAAGTCCAAGTGTACCAATGGTGTGAAAGGTTTTCACTTTGAGACCAATCATATTTCACCTTAGTGATCCTGGTAATAAAAGAGGAACACTACTTGTTAATAATTTTCTTTTCTTTGCCTTTTGATCTTGGAGTCTTTTCTATTCCCATCCTGCCTCAACAGCAACAACAGTGTGGCTGGGATTCACATCTGAATGTGTGACTGTGCCTCTGTGTCAAAAGAAAACTATTGGAAGATGAAACTTCATGACTGATTTGAGGAGATGAATTTTGTGATTCCTTCTCTTCCCACGGCCTGTGGGGTACAGTTCAGCTGTTGTGGAGGCTGCATCATAAACAGAATCAGTGGAAAGAGCAGCCTTGAAGTATAATCTTGTAAATTGTGCTGGTTTCTTACCCTGAAGGTGATGTGAGTAACTTGCAGTAAAGAGGCTGATGGCAGCCTTCTGTGGCATTTATGCTGCTAACAGGGGCTGCACAGCAGTTGCAGGTATTTCTCTCTGTGTTTTTAATCAATTACTGTTAATTTTGTACTGGTGTTAGGAGTTGGTGACAGTGACAGCTGAAAGTTGATGTTAAGACCTGAGGACATCAGGAATTGTGATCCATGTGTTGAAGTAAGTTGGTGATAAGTGTCATGGTGTGGAATTACCTTGTGTAACGGTACTGTGACACACTCATGCACTGTTGAGACTTTATCCACATCCTCCTTAACTAATTAATGGGTTTAGGACTTTCTCCTTTTCACCTCTACCCCCGCCTCACAATTAGCTAGTGAAACCTGGAGGATTTTATGGGTGTTTAATGCAGAAAACTTGCAGAGTGGGAATCTTGCAGAGTTATTAATATGTTCCTTTCAAAGGAAAAGGTAATGTCAAAAGGTATTATTTTTTCTTTCAATCCTTGCTCACCTCTTCTGCCTATCAGATTTCTTCTGTGACATGATGCACTATGCAGAGTAGACTCTCAGCAGTGTAGTTGGTTTTGAAAGCATGATCTACATGACAGTCAGGGGATGTGGATCTACAATCTCTATATACAGTTTTTACTATTCTGTCTTGCATCAGAAAACCACAAAATATCAGTAATCGTGCCTTCTTCAGATGTTTGGGGTTATTTTTGCTTCTCAGCTGATAAAAACGACTGGGTTTTTTTGTAACAACCCCTACTAATTCTTAGAGGATTGGCAGGCTCGGCAGTGGAAATGTGTTTTGGAAAGAGTATTTGTTGTTTATATTTTCACTGTAGATATTCTGACTGCAGCAATGCTGGAGGAGTGCTCAGGTGATAACACTGAGAGTACTGAAGTTGCAAACTGAGAGACAGCATAAATTCTTTTTCCTGAAGAAATGGGAATTTGTGGGTTAAAGTCATTACCTTTTGAGGCCAGCTGTGTGCTGGCAGTGTACTTGCAGTTTGAGAGCTGTGCTTTCTGCCACCCAGCTCTGTGTGGGTTAAACAAAAAGCAGAAAGAGCAAATAAGCAATAGGCTGCAGTCAGGCTGGAAAAGTGCTGTCAAAATTACTTTCTTCCCCAAGACATTTGAAGTCCCAGAGAAAGGATCTTTTCCAAATTGAACTAGCATAGAGAACGTGCTTTTGTACATGCCATCCAGGTTGAGTTACTTACACACTGCTTTGTAATGTTGCAGAATGTGAAGTGAGCAACAAGTCAGAATTATGGAAAAAAACTGGCAGTGCTAGGAAGTAATCTCTGGTTTGTGTAAGTTCTTTTGTTGAAAATAAGCTCTTTTTTTGTATCCCAGGGCATCAGCCTGGTGTTGGACTACAATTATCAGCCTGTGCTGCTTTCAGAGCAAATTAGCAGAGGGAGATGGGACTTCCACTATTTAAGCTACCAAAATAGCATTTCTGCCTTCCATCTTCTTTTCTTTGGAGAGGGGATGAGGTTCAAGTGAAAGGTGTTTGCTGATCATCCTTTGTAGGAATAGAATTTTGGGCTTTTTCCTTAAAGCAGAATATGCCTGGAATGTTTTCAGTAAAGTGCTTACCTTAAAATCACAAATTTATGGAGATTCAGGAATAATTTCATCCTGTTCTGAGGTTTTTTTGTGCTTAAATTGTGCCTCTCTTGAGGAGAGAAAAAGATGGGCAAAGATGAAAGAAGCAATTTTCTTCAACAAAATTGTGAGAAAACCCGTATATCCAATAGACTTCTATTTTATTTGAGACTTCTATGCAGCGTGTTAAATTGACAATACAGTAAATAAAGGAAACAGGTCCCATTTCAGTGAGTGATAAAATCTACATTCTATAATTCTACTGAAGAGTTTTGTGAGCAGCTTAGTCATTATGTTAGTAGTATTTATTGGTTAGGGAAGATCATGGATACATGTTGGGGGAAACACTGATTTTTTAGCTCTGAAGTAGTTACATTTTTCTGCTGTTAATGAAAGTAGAAATTTTCTTCACTTGGGTTGTTTGATAAGAATTCAGTGAACATTATTCCACCATTTTCTTGAAAGCTGTTCAGCTGTTAATTACAGAAGTAAGCAGGATTCATCAGTTTTAGTGCAGTAGTGGGAGTCTGTTCAGCTGGGCTCAGAATAGGAGATTTTCATTTATGTCCTCTGCAACAAAGAAGAAGAAAACATTATTAACATTATATGTGAAATAGACATTTTTGTGCTGTATCACTATCAATAAAGTGACTGATGCTATGAATGATCAGTCACTGGCAGAAGTATACATGTACTTAGATAACTCCTTGCAGCTTTAGTCCTTCATGACTGGTAAAATGTCATCAGAAGAACTTGAAAAATTTTGGGAAGAGCAAAGGTTCCATGTGTCTGACTTCTGACTAGAATCAGCCTCCACTTAAAATTAGGGACTTGTTAGTAGGATTTTGAACACAATTCTTCAGTCTTGTTTGGTCAAATGCCTTCTGTCCCATAACTCTTCTGGAATTAACCTGTGCTACGTTGGTAACGCTGTTGACCTTTTGCAGTCTTGTTATTTGTGTTCTGTTTTCCTCTCGGCACAGTGGCCATGGGCTTCTGCTTACAATTTCTTTGCCTCAGACCTTTGTTGAGGTCTCAGTAATGTTCTTGGTGGGAACATTCTGTCAGGTCCATCTGCCTATTCTTTTAGGTTTACCTTCCTTAATCCCAAAGCAGTGGCACCATTCTTTCAGAGCAATGAGTTTGTCCTGGTCTCCATCGCACTCTTGGAAGAAACGGGTTATGCAGTGTTCCATGGGAACAAGGGAGGCTCTCAAGGGTGCGAGCTCCGAGTGTGTCAATAATCTGAAAGAAAGGGCAGGTATGGAGAGCTGCATTTCCTTAATAAATCAGCAGGATTATCAAAGCTGATCTAAAATGCTAGAAGACAACAATGATGGCTTATCAGAGATGCCCTAATGGATTTTTTAATGGTGCTTCTGTAGTGAATATATCTTAGGTCATGATAAAGATGTCTAATATCTGATGAGCTAAAATGCTTTTGCTGCATGTTTGTTTGCCAACATCTTTTTTCCTAGAACAAATATTACTTTTGTAGTAATTACAGGTATTGAAAGGAACAACTTGCTCACAACTCATCACTTGTGGAGTTTTGCTGTTATTCTCAGGATATCAAGCTTGCAAAGTGCTTAACTGTGTTCTAAAACAGTAGGTGTGATTGTCCTGAGATATTGAAGGTCTGAACTTGGAAATACAGATCCCATCACTGAGTGATATGACCAAAAGCTTGAAATCTGAGTTATGTTCTCAGAAGCTGGAAGCTTCCTCTGAACTGTGACTATATCTGCTCCTTAAACTGAGAGACCTCTGTGGTGTTAGTTGAAAACTGTGGATACCTCACTAATGGATTTTTGCTGCCAGGGCTCTGTCCTTTGTACTTTTAGCCTGTTTCTCTTAGCTTCAGGAATAACAGGACTTCTTCCTGGCTGGGAGCATTAGTAAGTATTAGGACACTGTAGAGCTTACAGTGATCATGCAAGGCAAGAGGATAGCAGATCCTGACCTATGATATAGGATCAGGAAAACAATGAAGGAAAAAGTTCTGTGTTAGAGAGGGAGTGATACTGGCTTCTAACAGCTAAGGGACTGGTTCCGTATGTAGAGAATCCATTGAGGTGTTTAGAAATGTAAAACAGCCTGAGTTTAATCAGCAAATCAGAACTGAAACACAGATATTTTTTTACCTGTCAACAGGGTGATGATCAAGCTGGTGAAACTGCCAGTGCACAGGATACACATACATGTGGTAATTTTTCTCAAAGTCGTGCAGGAGCAGCTCAACCGGGTGGTCACCAGCCACAAGGCGTTTGTCATTCTGGTAGATTGTTTTTACCTGAACTCAACACAGAAATTGTTATTTTTTGTTTTGGGTTGAAGATCTGTCCTGAAGAGAACTATCTGGCAAGAAGATGTTTTGGAGAAATGAAACTTGATAATAAAATACCCCTAGGGTATTTTAAATACTCCTAGGGTGTTTTAGTGTTGGTGACCATATGCAGCTGAAAAGCTTGCCTTAGGTAGTCCAGGACAATTTCGCTGCTGTCCATGTCACCTTTGGCAGTAACTAGAAAGAAAGTGGAATTCCTGTGGCTTAATTGTCAGACTCAGCTAAAGGGGGCAGTAGCCTCAGCTTGTCAGGAGATTAAACCAGTTTTTCACATCTTCTGTCCTGAGGCAAGCAACACATGTTTTGGTGGGAAATAAGCCATCTCAGAAGTCATCTAATTCATGCCATTTTGTATGAGCTGTTCTGGACTAGTCCATGTAACTGCATAATCTTATTTGAAAAGGATTGCTGACCTTATTCCTTTGCTTTTCAGTTAGAATCCCAGAAGTGTTCAGGTCACGTTCATAGTATTGAATAAGGATGTTCTTAAGCCAGTCTCGCATCCGGAGGGGAAACTGATCCACTTCATAATCAGTACAGGGGGGGATGTCTGTGCCAAAGAGAAAAGCTTTTGTTAACAAGTCATCTGTCAAGTCCCCATTTGAGCATTTCTGAGATTTGAGATCTACTTCCAGTAAAAATTAGAATTGATGGAGCTGTTAATACATAAAATTTTGAATGCACCGAATGTGTTAAATTATAAATCTACAATTTTTTAGTGCTTAACCAGCTGTGCAAGCCACATCCTTTTTATATCTATGCAGCTTTTGAGCATAGTTGTGCAGTGAAGGTCTAATCAGTCAGCTGCATGAAAGTAGAGTTTTTGACAGCAAAGGAATATTCTGGCTGGGAATGCACTTTCCTTCTACTATATGCAGCAATTGAAGAGGTTGGAAATCAGTTCTGGCTTTTAGAGCCTGACTTCTGCATTTGGCATCTAAGTTCAGTTGATGTTTTTTGGTTCTGATTTTCCATGGGGGTTTGAGATGGACATTTTCATTTAACAACTCTCTGTAAACGCTGTTTTCTGGTCAAGGATTTACAAAAATCTTCAGAGACTATAGCAGTAGGAGCAGATAAGACAGTGCAAGGGGAAGATACGGTCACCAACAAATTCGTGAAAGCATAGGAGAGATGTCTAGGTTTAAGATACTTTTTAAACATGTTTAGGGTTTTGAAGGCCTTAATTAGCAGATAATTGATGCACAAGTGGCAGGTTACAGGAAGAAGGGTAATTTAGGGCTGGCAGATGGGTTAAGGCTACTGGCTCTTTCTTTAATTCTTCAAAGGAAAACAAGCTTACATTTGCAGGAGCCCATATAGTCTAGGTGCAGCTGGCGTCCTGTTTTTGTCCCTTCCAGTTGACATTTGGTGCCAAAGAGCTGACATGTGCCATCATAAGTCTTGTTATCTGTACCACAAACCTAGAGGAAGGAAAACCATCACCCCACCACTGTGTTGAGAAAAATCCTTGTGACTCAGAGTCATTACAGTAATCAAAGCATCGTGTGGTGAATACCACAGGGAGTACGTGTGATCAAAAGTATTGGAATTAGTAGCTGTTGTATGCCTGCATGAGGACTAGTTGTCTGTACTTGTACACCCAGTTATGCAACACTTCAGTTTGATTTTATGGTTGTACTATAGCCTCTGAGATGCTGTGGGATTATTTCACTGGATGTATACACAGCATGTGCTCTAAAATACCAAATGGATACACAGAAATTTTAGTGGTAGGGGAAAGCTACAATCCCTGAGACTGAGTGAAGCAAGTCAGTTACTGTAGTTACATGGGTTTATACTGCTCTCAAACCACACTTAGTAAGTTTGAGTGCTTTATACTTAATTATTCAATTACTGGAATCACTCAAACTCACTTGCATGCTTTTTAGGGTATAGAACCATGCTAAATAATAGCAGGGGAATATGTTATCTTGTGAACACTTTAGGTGGCTTTTCCCAGTCCTGTACACTGGGTGAAATACTCACATGCTCATAGTCTTCGGTGGGAGGGCAAGCAGCAGGATCTTGGCAAATGCAGTGGGGTTCCCCTTGTTTGTCTGCATGACAGACTTTGCCTCTTTTGCAGTGGAAGTTCTGACATGTGTCTGGCAGTCCTAGCAGGAAAGAGGGGTGATGGGATAAAGCCAAGTGTTTGTCAGATACTACTGAGGGCCAAAGCAAAACACAGCCCAGTGTTCATCAAGAAGTTAAAATGTGTTTTTAAGTTTGCATTTTTAAGTTTGTTATGAAGCTGGAGCTTGTATTGAATAAAACAAGCCAAACTTTAAATGAGGATTTTTATGGAACTTCTGGCAGTACCAGGCTTGAATTAGAGGGGAAAATATTTTTTTTTTCCTAGAAAAAGCTGTTTGTTCTGTAGGGACTGATTTCACTTCCAGCTTCTTTTGGTGAAACATATCCCATCTGTCTTTGCTGAATCAAGCACTGGCCTTTGTCCCACTCCTACTTGAATTCCAGCTCTCAGTGCAAGGTAATCCCCATTTCTGGATAACTGACACAAAAATTTGTGCACTGCCTACAAATGTTTTTCACTAACGAATTACTAAATCCAAGGGAGTATGGAAGGGATTCTCTGGGAACAGAGGATTAGGCACAAGCACAGTTCAGTCATGTGAAATCCTGTACTGCAAAAGGCAGAAAAGAAATGCAGACCAGCAGATTCCCCAGCTGCAGAGAGTTGGGAGTTACATGACAGCTTTGCTTGGGGCTTACCAAGGAGAGCGTCCTCATTCCTCTTGCTGACACTTTCCATCTCACCATGGGAACTGTTTGTAGTCTTAACCTGCACAGTCACAGAGGCATAAGCAGAAAGTTGTGGTAAATTTTGGGAAGAAAAAAAATACTTGGACTAATTTTTTTCAGGTCCAAATACAGAGCTGACTGAGGCACAGTTTGCTCTGTTTTAAGCAGAGAGCAAAATCTGAGAGAAGAGAATAAAGCCTCTGATAGTATTACCATGCTCTTGTCATTTGGGAAAATAACATGAGTGGGAGGTGGAGAGAGAGATAGAAATGGGAGCTCAGTAAGGCCTGAATTTCTTATAATTATTCTATGGACTCTGAATTTCTTATAATTATTCTATGGACTCTAGGTGCCTGCCTTTCCTGTTCACTTTTGTGTAGTAGCATTTAAAGCCTTTGTGAGAGATGAGTGAACAGGCTGGCCTAGTAAGCCAGAGACTGGGTTTCAGGCTTTGCATCTGTGTATCTCTATTTATTTGTGTGTTTCATTACACACCCCGCTGGGTCTGGAGCTCTTCTGTGAATGGTGTTCACTTCCTTTCTGGTCCAATTCACCTAAATGCTCTGGTGCAATGACACAGCATGAACCAGAGAAATAGTGAATATAGGGGGAGGTGAGACTTCTGCATATTAAGAAGTCACCTGTTTTTCTCCAACAGGTCATTTCAATCATCAGGAATTTAAATTTGGAACTAGTCCTTCTCCCCCTTTTTGTAGTATTCAAGTTTTATTTTAAAGATCATTTACCTTATCTTCACTGTCCATTGAATTCATGTTCTGAATGGAGCTACTCATTTTCAGTTGTTGCTTGTTGTCAGAATCAGGTGGCTCATGATCATCTTGTTCAGAGTGAGCAAGGTCTTTAATCTTGACAATTTGGAAATCCTCAGTCTCTTTGTGATCTGCAGTGTCATCTTCCATGGTTCCTTCCCCTTCAGACTCAGTACTGGTGCTCTCCTGGTCGTTACTCTGGATTCTCTCCTCTTCCTCATAGGCTGTTTCTTTCCAGGTATTGCTGAGATATTCCTCACCATCAATGCCACCACTGTTGTGACCATCATCATCATTACCGTCTTCCCTGTCTTGTATTTTCACCGCTGTGTCACGATCACTCTGATAGTTCACTTGATTATTGTATTTTCTCTCTTGACTTTGCTGTTTGGCATCCTGATATTCAATATGGGTTTTTTGAGAGGGGGGGATTTCTTCTTTTGGGGACTTCTTTCTGTTCTCCCTCTCTTCTTTCTCTAGGTCAAATTTCTTGCTGTGTCTCTTGGTTTTCCAGGTTGGTTGTCTGGAATCTCCCAGGAGTTCATCTAATTGCATGCTGTTCTCATGTTGCTGTCTTTTGTATTGGTCACCTTGACGTGTCTGATGGCCTTTGTGCTTTGTGTCTCTGTAATCAGTTTCTTCATCCCATTTCTCATCCTCTTCCATGCTTTCCTCTTCATCGCTTTCACTGTTTTTTTCAGGCAGGCCAACAGCATTTTTGTTATATTTCCACATGTTGTGCTCAGGATGAAGGCTGAAAGCACCCAATGGATGCTCTGCATGGCCTGGAAGGTGTCTGTTTGCCATGTTCCCATGTTTCTCATGCTTCCTGAGCTGGCTGTGCTCAGAGCTGGACTGTTCTCTGCTGCTGCTCCCAGAGTCACTGTCCTGGTTATAAGAAGCCAAACCTAGTTTATTATGCAGTGCAAGGAAATCAAAGCTTTTCAGGCTGTTTTTCACTTGATGCTCACTCCCAGTTCTTCCTTGTTTCCTAATGGTCTGGGGCTCATCCCTGTCTTCAGAGCCTGGTTTTAAGTTTCTGGGACTGGGCAGCAAATCACCCTTGTCTACATACCCTGTGTTCTCTTCCTTTGAGGCTTCAGAATGAATATATTCACTCTTAAAAAAAAAATCAAAATAACAGATTAATAAATCTCAGGATTTATTGAAGCTGATGTGGTGGTGTTTTTGCCTTGTTTTGCAAAGCATGGCACTGGCTTAATTTGTTTTCTTTGTATGTGCTCCTCTTAAACTAGCCCAGAGCATGACATTCACAGCTTATCTGCCTTCTCTTTCTCAGAAAATCTGTTTATCTGTCCCTTCTTTTATTGCTGGAGTTTCTGGAGAGGTCTATGCAACTCTGTTTCATAGACAGATGCATATGGGTGTCTTGTGAAATCTCAAAATGCTTAATTAGTATTTTAGTCATAACCACAGGCATTTGTAGGCTGCAGTAATTATCACTTACCTCAGAGAAGGGGGATGCAAAACATAACTTTCTGCTCAGATAAGGGAAAAATAAGGGACCTGGGAAAAGGGGAGCAGGCAAAGAGAGAATAGGTGGCATGGCAGTAATTCCCAAGAAGTGACCTGCATTGATTTTATAATCCATATATAAATCTACTTTGAGTCCGATATATCATTATTTCCTGGCTGAAGTCATCAGGAACTATTGTGTGTGGTGACAATTATAAGATCAACAATAGATATTTGAGTGCCTTTTTATTTTCTTAATCTGTCAAGCCAACAGCAAACGTAGTACCTTCAGTGGAAATGGCTCAAATGCTTGAGGAGAAAGCAGATACTAAAATTACTGTCAGGTCTTGTTGAAGCAATTACCTTTCTGCTGCTGTTTGTTTCTGAACAACAGGTATGGATGTTCAGTGTTGCTTATTGCTTACAACAGTATAGCACCTGATGCTGATATTTCTTAAAGCTTTTGGGAGATTTAATTTGGGAAGAATAGTCCTTCTCACTTGGTCCATCCAAGCTGCTGGAATAGCTTTTTGCTTTAGTTTAACTGCTTGGAAACATGCATTTTACTCACAAATGCTTATATTTATTCTTTTTTAAAGGTAGGATTGGAAATATGAATTTGATTATTGTAGATCAGCTATATCCTATTTTCTAATGTCAAAGTGGTATCAATGTTTTACAATTTTGTCTTTTGCACAGTGTCCTTGCTGATATGGAAATAGTACCAGGAACTATATTCACTGTATTAATTCCAACTCTAACTTTTTCAGGGGAAGATTGTATGTTTGCTCCAATCTAACAGAAATTCACTGTGGAGCTTTTTCAAAGTTCTACAGATTCAGAAAACACAAGGCTAAACAGTCTTTAAGGTTTTCTGTTGTGGGCACCTGTGTTTGAAGCAGCAGTTTGAGAAAGATTTGGCTCATGTGTCGACAGGAAGCCTTGTCCCGTGCACGTTCTGCAGAGATGTGCCTGGATACAGCTTCTTTCAGATGCTGCTTCCTGTTATACCTTTGTCCCCTGGGTCAAATCAGCTTTTAGAACTCAGGTGCTCATGAAGGAACTTGGGCAAATTTCAGTCACTATCTGTGATTAGATACTGTGGGGGAGAACTGGCCCTTGATGGATGATGCACACGCTTGGAAGTGATGATTCATTGGTTGTTGCAAGGTTTTGTTTTGGTGCAAATGTCTTACGTGTGTTATTTCTGGTAGACAGCTGTAGGCTGCAAGCTAATCTTTATACCATTTCCTCTGCTGGATACTTCATTAGGAAAAGTTAATTTTTGTTTTCGTAGTGCAGAGCATGATCCAGATTGATGTGAAATGTATCTGGAAAGCTGTACAGAGTGGGATATTGTTTATAATTAAAAATTAAAAAAATGTTTAGCATAAGAGTAGGGATTTTGAATCTCTTACTACAGAGCATGATCTCAGTTTAGTAATTCTGAAACACCCAGTGGCTTGGAGACAAGATCCATTGTGTCTGAGTCACAAAGGCTCGCCAGAACAGTGCAATAAAAAGGAATTTTTATTTGGTTCAGTCATGAATGCAAAACTGTGGGCTCTGTCATTAGTACACATATGTGGCATAAGAGGGCTGGTGAAATCTCTGTCTCATTGCCATCAGGGCATGTGGCCTAGCAACCACAGGATACTCTGCCAGGATAAGCTGTGTCTAATGCTCTGCACCATGAAAAATGAAACATATGGTGGCTAAAGTCCTTACATATCTGAGACTGCATATTTGAGACTCTGGTGTGATAAATTGAAGATTTCATCCTCCTCCTATACTGAAGCTGTGATAAAAACAATTTTGACTGGCACTGGAGCTTATTTCTTGTACAAATATGGGTAATTATGATATGCAGGGATTCATTTAAGGTATTTTTGTCAATAAGTGAAACTTCCATTTTGAGGTTTAGATTTTGTCCTGTTTGCAATTGTTAATATGCAAGGCATGAGCTACTTGGCACTAATTATTGAGGAGAGAGGGCCTAAAGTTTTCTAACATAAATCAATTTGCCAACCAGTAGGTATGTGTTTTTATATTTAAGATGAATAATATAAGTTACTTCCTTTTGTTTAAAGAACAGTAAGAATACCTTTTCTGGAATTTTCTGTCTGAGAGTTCTGAGCTTGTGGTTTACAGGATGGGTCTAAAAAAGACAAATCTATGACTATCTGCACATCCATAAGCATAGAATATTCTCTGAATGGGAAATTAAGTGCCTGATAATAATAGCATGGCGAGGACTTACTGGAATAGCAAAAACCAATCCTACAAGACAAATGAAGAGGGCTACAGTCTTCATGTTTTCCAGATCTTGTAGAGGACAATAGTTAATGGTACAGTAGTAGGGCTTAGAGGTTTCCTTTCTGCAACAAACATGAAAACAAAACAAGTTAGGATTTGGTTATAATGACCTAGAAATGACTGATGGAAGCAATGTAGTGGCTGCTGTAACTTGTTAAGTCTGAAGACCCACAAAATTGTTATGCAGTGTCCTGTAAACTCAGATTTGAGACCAGCTCAACTAGAGGACACTTTAGTCTCAGTTCTTGGACAGTGATTAAGCTATAGGCTGTGTTCACAAACTCCAGTGGGTGTTACTGAGAGGCAGAGCTGTGAGTGGACATAGGTTAAGTATTTAAACACTTACAAATAGTTGTAAGTATTTATCCACCACTATGAGATACCACTTAGTGAAAAATTCCTCTTTTATTGAGCTCTGAGGCAGTGCCTGCTTGTGGCACCTCTACAGCTGAGGTGTCCCTTGGCTTCTCCCCTCTGTGTCTGGTAGGAAGAATTAAGTGGTGAAATTCTGTTCAGCAGGTCTCCAAGCTCAGAAGCACTGCCCAGGCTGCTTGAAGACTGGGTGCAGTCCTGCTTTGGATGCAGTCCTGCTTCTCTGTTTTCTTGGAAATTGTCACCCAAAGTGTCTGCTTTTGGAAGATCCCCCTGTTGAACACCGTTTAATGTCATTATCTTTCCGTTAATGAAGATCAAAATACTCATTAGTGGGGCATATCTAGTATGTAATCCATTTTCCCTTGCAGTTAGTCTCCAAATTACCTCTTGACTAATTATCCATTCTCTCTCTGGCATTCACAGTTAGTTGTCTAAGATGTTTTCAGAGGGAAAGGCAGAATACAACAAAAGCCAATAATGAGCATATGCAAAATGCCTCAGTGGGCTGGATATGGGCAGTCACTTCAGATCAAGGCAAGTGTGGTCAGACTGAGAATAATGCACACAACTTGTCAGAAATACAGGGCAATAATCCAATTCATGTAAAGCCCTAAAAACTGCATATTGTGCTATTTGAAGACTTGGTAAGTGTCTGAGACAAGAAGGATTTGAATGTTAGGTAGGCTTGATTTCTATTTCTTTCTGTTACTGGTGAGCAACACAGACCTGGGCATATAATTTAACTGAGTTTCCTTTTTTAAAACTCTCATTTGTCATATTTGTTTTGGTAAACTAGTTTGAGAGTTATAAATGAAAAGTTCTCTGTGTTGTGTATTTTTTATAATTGCAATTTTCTAATTTGGCTTGTCTCTGTAAAAGTTGCCTCTACCACCTTTGCTCAAATAATCAAAAGTAGTTGGAATAAATCCGAGTTAAGGTGGCAGGACAGGGCTTTTGTATTTTCTTTTATTTTTAACTGCAAGCCTGCAGCAACCCATAGGAAGTATAAGTCTTGTATTAAATATTTGGTATTGAATAAGTATTCAATTATTAGGGAAGCCTGACCACATTGATTGGAGTGTTCTATGATGGATTGTGAGATGATATTTTCTACACTAAGTGAGAAGGCATTTCATTCTTGCTTTAATTTCCAAATATGTCCTAAAAAGAGAATTTTTAAAAGCAAGCTTTTGTAACACATAAGTTTAATAGAGCTGTCAGAAAGGAATGATTACACAATAAGCTTTTTTTAAAAAATATGAGCAGGGAGACATCCCCCTGGGAAAATGAGATCATTATACTCTACAGGAGAATCTGTAGGAAGACTTAGCCAGAAGGTGAATAGGAACATTTCTTGGAGTAAATAGAGTTTTTTGACCAAGAAATGAGAAGCAATGCTAGCTAGGGGCACTGGGTTTGCACGGCAAGGAGGCTACAGGGCTGCCATACTAATAGTGTCAGCAGCCACTTGAAATGCTAATCAATGACATGAATTTTTAATGGAAGTATAAGTGTGATACTTTTAAATTACAACTGGTATAGCACATTCCTGTTTCCAGATGTTTCAAAAGCCCTTGTGAGAGCATGAGCACATTATACATATAGAAGCTGGGTCATGTGTGCACACACATAAAACTGAAAGGCAGATTTTTAGGCAGATTTCTAATCTGAGTAAAAGAAGAGATCACAATAAGAAAAAAAAATAAAGCATTAAAACTATTTCATTCATTCTGTACCAGTAAATGGCTGATAATGAGAATTGATTCCTTTGATACTGCCAGTTTTACAGCTGCAAAAGCCATCAGGCATAAGTCCTGGAATAAAGACTTGCATAAAGCCTTCCAGGCATAAGTGCAAAAAGATCAAAACCAAACCAAAAGTATTTCAGGACAAGTTAAAACAATTTTTAATAAACTATTCATGTTAACTTACTGTAATTGTTTAATCTCTTATGTTTCCTTTCTGCCATTTCATTTTATTTTCTACTTGTTTAGATCTTGTTAGATCTTGAGTTTTTTTGGTTTTGTTTTTTTTTTTTTTTTTTTTTTTTTTTTTTTTTTTTTTTTTTTTTTTTTTTTTTTTTTTTTTTTTTTTTTTTTACCAGAGCTATCTGTAATTTAAGACCAGATCAAATCACAATGAGCTGCTTTGATTTAATTTGACAAGGATCAGAAAGATTCTTACTTATTAGGCAGAATTATTTTGAGATTAGTTGGTGGGTTTTGTCCTCTCCCAGATCCTACATTTCTTTCATGAGCTCCTGTTTGGTACATGTTTTCACTAGGTCTACCAACACATTTTTGAAAGGTTCCTCCAAGACCAGCCAGTGTTTCTCTCTCTTTCTTTTCCAATATGAGAAAAGAAGGTGAATCTGGTTTTTTTGCCCTTGTCTATTGGACTGATTCCTAAACTGGTATTTCAAGAGACTGTTGAAGTGTTGGGTTTCAGCTGGACCACTGCACAGCTCCAAAGGAGGTGTGTGCTTTTCTTGGCTCTTGTTGGCCATAATGCTTTATTGTTTTGCAGGATCACTGGCAAAATAATTATTCCAGTGGTAAGATAAGGGTTTTCTTCCTAAACACAGTAACCACACACTGTCTTCTCTTACAAAGGACATTTTCTGTTCTAGACATAAACATCTGAAATGCATTATCCTTCAAACAGATGACACTCTATGAAAGCTTTCGCAGTGAGTAGAAAAAGGTTGCAGAGGGTTAGATATAAAGCATTCTAAAGTTTTAATTAAGAATAAAGAAGAAACAGTACCATAGCAGTAGAAGAAGTGCTCCTTCCTGGCCTGCCACTGATGTACCGGAGATCCTTGACCCTTGCAGGATGTTGCTGTTTTTCCTGAGATATGTTTTGCTGTCTGGAACAGAGCCTCTCAGCAAGTGTCTTGTGCTGCAAGTGTCAGTGCAGGAGGATGCTACTCTGTGAGTCCTGGTGGAGCACGGAATCCTAGGCTTCCATGGGACGAGGTGGGGGGCAATGGGCTGGTGGAATTCTGGTGGATTAATTGAATCAGAAAGACAATTTAGTGCTCACGGGCTCTGGGCCAGTGGAGCTCAGTGGCTGTGTGGGAAAGACATATTTAGTGCTTTGCAGGGAGGGGAGCCAAAGGGAGCAGGTGCAAGAGTTTCTGCTGCATCAGCTGCTCCCAGAAGAGCTGAACCAAGGGATCTGCTGGGGCAGCCACACTGCTGGCTGGGGGAAAATGGAACATAGGGGATGCCAGTCCCTGCTGAGCTGCCCGGTGCTGTTTCAGTACGCTGCACATGGTGCGTGTAAGCCTGCAAAAAGGTAGAAACTCTCAATTAGGTACGTAAAACCCAGTATTGGTTGGAGGCTCTTGCATAACTCTGAGGAGTTTGCTGTTTGGAAGCTGTTGCCATGGCTGTGCTGCCTGTCTGCCACAGCGACAACACAGAGCGAGCTGAGAGGAGAGCAGAAACCTCCACGAGCCTCTGCAGCAGAGGCTTTGTGCCTTCTGGTTCTGCAAGCGTTAATAATTTTTTTTTTGTTTTGGTCATCTCATTATTCCATAAAATGCTCCACCTGAACTGGAATACTTTCTGGGAGTTTATCCAGAAATAGTGGAGGGGATGCACCAATGTAAGAGCAAAAGCACTCCCAGTTATCCCAGCAGATCCAGTCCCAAATTCCCCAATTCTGACAATATCCTCTCTTCCTAAAGAGGACACTTTGCATATTGTGTTGACATGACCGGAAGAGAGGTTGAAACAAAAAGAAATGAACTATGTGAATGGTAAGAACTGTAATGCAAATGCTGGAATTCAGTCACTTTAGATAATATTTTAATTGGTTCTTTTTGAAGTTACAGTTTTATTGGCTACTCTTCTGTTCACCCAAAAAGGCAATAGACATTGGGTGTTGATTAGACAAAATATAGTGAGAAATGTTCAAAAATTGACCATGATTTATGTGGCAAAATGTGAAGTTTATAGTTTATAAAAAAAAATTAAAAAATGAAAGAACCTGAAATCAGAGCTGAGCCCTCACTCTGTAGACCAAGCAGAAAAAAAAAACCCTTTGTCAAAAGCCCATGAGAAATTATTTAAATCCTTTTCCCTTTTATCTCTGCTTCTTTGCCTGGAAACAAATTGATGCCTATTGGAGTTGAAATTCTGCTTGTCTGTCAGCCAGTTGGTGTCTGAAAGGAATGGGCATATTTCACAACTTCCCATTTGTTTTTTCTTTTGTTGTGCATGCTGAAAAGATGATTGGTTTAATCTATTCAAAACTCTTTGTGCTGTGCTGTACCATCAGATTAGCTTTACTGGGTTATCGAAGATAAGTGGCTTGCTGTGATTTTTTTCAATGTTCAAGATATGATAAATGAAAACTGTTCAGGTGGCAACCCAGAAATTAGGACAAGTACAGCAATGTTAATTTTATGGTAGCTAAATAGTAACTCTTTTGTCATAAGATTTTCTGATAATGGCTATTAACCTCACCTTGAAGTTCTTAATTCACAGAAAAAAGTGCCAGACTGAAGAACTGTGCAGAAACTTGAATCAAACATTTGTAGGAGTTTGAAGGTTATTATTGAAAGACTGTATGTGATTTGTAGGCTTTGCCTGATTCTGTGTTTGAACAGCTTTCTTGGGACTTACAGGACAGTGGGGAGGAAACAAGGAAACATTTTGGTTTTGAGGATATTGAGGGATTATACATTGTTTATCAGAGTTACATATTTACAAACGCTTAATTATATTTACATATTTACAAAATACTTCATTAAGCAAAATTTTCTAGCTTGGCTTTTGATGACAAAATGCTTCAGTTGAGAAGATCTCTGGTTGTTTTCCAATGCCACTGGGAGGCCTGGGCTTTTCTTGGAGCCATCAGTCCTCGTGCTCTAGTCCTCAGCCAGTCCCACCGTGCCATGCAATGTGCTTTTTGGAAACCTTTTCAGTGGTAGATTGGGAATTCTCTCAGCAGGAAGAGGTGCTGTGCCATCGAGGTGAAATACAGGGGGAAGAGGGGAAGCAAGCAGTTGCTGAGCTAAGTGAAAAGGAGGATATGCAGCAAGCAATAAAGATTAAACATATGAGAAAGAAGACAGATGAGTAAGGGAGGTAAAAAATTTTATCTGTCTCACTGTGGCACTGATAAACAGACACTTTAAACAAAGGAGGAAGAGCAAAAGCTCAGAGGATTTTGCCTTATATTTATTAATGTGCCTGTAAAGAAATGCAGCAAAGATCTGTGGGTCTAACTGACTGTGGGGGAGATGAAACTAGGCTCAAAAGACATTTGTTTTTATTGAAGTTATCTGCACTTCTGCATGCTCAGTCCTGCCAGAGGGTTCGTATCTCTGCCCACAAGAGAGTGGTGTTGAGCCATTGGCTTCCAGACCACATGCTAGGGATCAACTTCCAGGTTTTTAAAATGAAAAGCAAATTCTAACATCAGTGCTCATTCTGATTTACAAATAAAGCTTGGCTGTTCTATCAAATATTCTTTACCCCAAAATGAAAAAGTGTAAGCAAGGTGTAACTGAAGCATTTTAGAGTAGATAAAGAAACTGTGCAGGTATACTGGTTATTTTATCAATGATATAATACCTAGCTGTATCTATGTGTTTTCTATATATAGAAAACACATATCTGTGTCTATGTGTTTTCTCTTTTTACTACAGAGGAAAAAGCCAGCAAAATGAACCACCAGACAAGAGATAGACATGAAACTGTTTGAGTCTGCTTGCAGTCAGTGCTGAAGTGTGTGTGCTGCGGAGTTCCAGGTGGCAAGGTCACAGTCTCCCAGGTGGTGTTGAGAGGGCTCTCAGCACATCCCTGGTTGCCTCTTAGCCATTAATTAAATATTCAAAGAAATTTAGGGAAATCTCTGTAACTTCCTTAACAAAAGGTGCATCTGAAGCCTTTCATGAACTGATGAAGTGGTCTTCATTGAGAGAATTGTATGAATTCTTTAGATTCTCAAAAGATTACAGCCCGTAGCAACTCCTGTTGCTAATGTTGGCAAGTGCTGCTTGTCCTTTCCTACTGGAAATAATTTATAGGGTCCATGTGGACCATAGAGGCATTTCATGGGGAGTTTAGTTTTCTTGAGAAAGGTAGAAAAACTGTTTGGAGACAGTGCTGGGGATAGGAGGGAGCTGATTCCTCTGACCAGTTCTGTTCATTTGTGCCATTTGTGCCACACCAAAGGAATACTGGAGGTGGGGGGCCTTCTGTGCCTTATTTTTGGGGAGGCAGGAGAATATCAGTTGTGGCTCTTGAGGTATCTTATAGTAGAAATTCTTCCCAGGAAGTTTGCCCAAGTATTTTTGCATGCAGTTCTTTCTAAATTAACTTATCTACCAAAAATAACTCACTGGTAATTATAGTAAATATAATATATAGATATGTACATAGACATATATAAGTTATAATCTCTGGGGTAAGTAATATTAATACATTACTCCTTTTTTCTTTCCTCAGAAGAAAGAAAGCTTGACTTCCTTCTGGAGGCTTCTGGTGGTGACTTTGGAATGAAGTTTTGTATACTCTGGAAAATAGATTTTTGGTACAGCTTTTTTGACTCTAAAGGCTGCTCTTCTCTACTATATTTTTTGACTCCAAAGGCAATGCCTGGAGTCCTTTTGATATTAGCAAGCATCTCTGGAGCATAATAATAAATTCATATGAACTGCCGGGGAGTATATTGAAACCGAGTTATCTCCCAAGGGCTTTTTAGTAAAAAATCTCACAAAGTGTGGTTTACCATTAAAATCTTTTAAAAATCACAGAGACACAAAGTTAAAGGTCTACCTATGCGTTCTTTTTGTGCCTGTGACTTGGTCAGTTCTGCATCTAAAATCAGGTTCTCTTGAATACAGACTATGTGGTTGCAATTCATCTTTTTCTCTAATCCAGGAGCCCTCCACTACCAGTGTTTTATTCCATACAGCAGTTGTTCTGCCTGCTTCCACATTGCAATTCCTTTACTTTATTACACTGAGTTTTCCAACCTTTCAGCAATCTCAGTTAGCCCAAACCCTGTTGTGGCTTTTTATTTCTTATTCTATCTGCATTAAATGCTGTTGTGGATGCAATTCTGTCTGTGATTTTCATGATGACAAGAAGTGCCAGGCAGAGCTCCTATTCCCTGGATGTATGGAACGAGTCCTACTTCCTGGTGTGCAGAAAGCAGCTCCAAAGAGGGCTGAGGCTCCAGCACAGCTGCCCCTGTGCTGCTGCTGCTGTATCAAGCTTTGTCTGTGATGCACTCAGGATGTTAGACTCTCATCCCTCTCTCCTGAGAGCTGCTGCTCTGGACTGTGTCATGCTTGACCACAGTGCCTGCATAGGTTGAAATTATATGTTTAAAAAGGAGGGAGAGAAATAAACATCTTGCTCAGCTAGGGAACATTTGAGTCCTGTTGGGGAGGAGCTATTTTAAAGCTCAGACTGAAAGATGGCTATTTTTGCCCTTCAGCCAGACAGACTCAGCTAATGGTCTATATTGTTCAAACTATTTTCTTGACCAAATTCTTATAAAGAGGAATGAAAGTGAGCAGGAAGAGTCCTTAAGCTAGCAAGAGGTAGACAGGGCTCACACCTGAAAAGATCTTATCTATAGCCTTCTGTTCTTTGGGGCTGCAGAGGTGTGCTTTATTTTTATGGGTGTAGTGTGCATTTGCTTTCATAATGAGCCAAAGGGATGAAGTTCAGTGTGAGGATTTTAAGAGCAATTCTGCTGAAAACACGTTGTGGAAGTTGTACAACCTCCACGTGCCTCTCAAGAGCAGGTTGTTATTTCACTTAATCCTTTCAGCTGCACAGTATGGCTAGAGGCTTTCGGGGAAGTGTAACGCAGCAGGGACTGCTCATTGTGGCTCAT